TTGGTTTTGTGATTATCCTGCCTGAGGTTGTTGAGCTTCTTAGATCAGTGAATTTATGTTTTTATCTCTTTGGACTATTTTAGTCATTATTTTCTCTTCTCCTTCTGTGACTACATGTATGTCAGACTGCATAGTATTGTCCAGTAGCTCACTGAGACTCTGTTCATTTTTTAGCCTTTTTAAAAACTCTCTCTTGCTTCAGTTTACGTATTTTCCATTGTCTTATATTCAGATTCACCGTTCTTCTACAGTATCTAATCTACCATTAAGCACTCATAGGTTGTTTTTCGTGTCGATGTTATATTTGTTTCTTTATTACAGTTCCCATTTCTTTCCTTATGTTGATTTTTTTTTTAATCTTTAGACATTTTTATAGTAACTGTGATAAAGTCCTTGTCTGTTGATTTCACCATTTCTATCATGTCTAGGTCTACTTCTATTGACTGGTTTTGGGTCATACTTTCCTCTTTACCTCTTGATTACATGATGAACATTGAAATATTATGAATAGTATCTCAATTTTGTTGTCTGCCTTTAGAAAATACTTAGTTTTGTTCTGAAGGGCCATTAATTGACATGTGAATCAGCCCACACTTTTTGGAAGCTTTTGCTGTTGTTGTTGTTGTTGATACAGGGTCTCACTCTGTCACCCAGGCTGGAGTGTAATGGTGAGCTGCAGCTCGCTGCACCTTTACTTCCCAGTCTCAAGTGATCCTCCCACCTCAGCCTCCCGAGTAACTGGGACCACAGCTGCATGTCACGAGGCCTGTCTACTTTTCGTATTTTTTTGTAGCAGCAGGATTTCATCATGTTACCCAGGCTGATCTTGAACTCCTGGACTCAAAAGAATCCACCCACCTCAGCCTCCCAACATTCTGGGATTACAGGCGTGAGCCACCATGCCTGGCTAGAATCTTATTTTTAAGTTTTGTTAGGGTAGCTCTAGAGCAGTAGAGTCCAATCCCAGTTGTTGCAATGATGGAAATGTTTGATGACTGTGCTTTCCAATATAGCGGCCACTAGCCATATTTGGCTATGAAATACTTGAAATGTGGCTAGTATAATTCAGTAACTGAATTTTTCATTTAATTTAAGTGGTATGTGGCTAGTGCCTACTGTATTGTACAGCACAGGTCTTAAATAGGCTGTACTCCCAAGCTAGTTTAGCCCTACACCTGAGTGACCCTTCTGAGGTCTTTACAATGCCTCAGGTGTTCAGTGAACTCTCCCTGGCTGGTTAGAACTTGATTTTTTCCTAGTCCAGTGCAAACTCTAGTAATTTTCAGCCTACAGTTCCCCAGTATTCTTTAGCAAAAAATTGTCCTTCCTGGCTTTGTGAAGTTTCACCCTGCACATGGACAGCCTAATTTTCAGCTGAACACTCAAGTGGATTCCTATGCAAATTTCTAAAACTTACTCTGTGTATCCTGGTACTCTGCCTAACATATCCCAGCATATTCTAGCTTTCTCAGACTCACTAAACAACCATCTCTATCTCTCCCTAAACCACCATCCTCTGCTTGGGTTCCCCCACCCTGTGTTGCAGCCAGTAATGTGCCTCCAGCCAGAAAGCTGGGATGATACAGGGCTTATCTTATTTGTTTCTCATTGATGCCCTTCGGGGATCACACTACTGTGCTGCCTGTTGTCCAGTATCTGAAAAATGTATTTTCGCCCGGTTTTCTAGTTGTGTCATGGCAGGAGGACTAGTCTGGTACCAGTTATTCCATCTTTTGTCTGAAACTAGTAGATTACCTCTTACTTAGTAACACCTCTACCCATATCAAAGAGAGATAGGTACAAGTTTGGTATGTTTATTTTTTAATAAAATGAGTAGTTACTTTTTAAAAATCTATTTGTACCTTCCTCTGTTTTATTATTACTGCCCAGTAGCCAGTTCGTCCCCAATCTTTACAACAACCCATTGAAGAAAACACGTTATCTCCATTTCACACAACACGGAAGTGAGACACAGGGAAGTTAAGTAACATTCACAGGGTTGCACACCTGGTAAATGGAAGAAGTGGGATTTGTATTCAGTGGTCTGGCTTCAGAGCCCAAATTCTGTGCCACTATTGAGAAACGTTCAGAGAATAACACTGTGAAGGGTATACATATGAGTTACTTGAGGTATAAATATTTGTACTTACATAGTCACATATAAACAAGATTCAACTTTTAAATCAATAATGTTTGGCTTACAGTAGAATATGGAAAAATCTGTATCTGCATAAACTTTTCAATCTTTAAGGGAACTCTAGAGGTTACTTAAGGGGAACAAAAGGAAGATACTTCCATTTGGTATTGTTTGTTTATTCATTTATTTAATTTTTTCTAGACAGAGTCTTGCTCTGTCACCCAGATTGGAGTACAGTGGCATGATCTTGGCTCACTGCAACCTCCACCTCTTGGATTCAAGCTATTCTCATGCTGTAGCCTCCAGAGTAGCTGGGATTACAGAGTGCAGCACCACACCTGGCTAATTTGTGTATTTTTAGTAGAGACAGGGTTTGGCCTTGTTGGTCAGGCTGGTGTTGGACTCCTGACCTCAAGTGATCTCTCCACCTCCCAAAGTGCTGGGATTACAGATGTGAGCCACCACACCGGCCCATTTGGCATTGTTTTATAAAAGCTTACTCACCTTGTAATACATAGCTATCTTAAGAAACAATACTGTTACGCATCTAAGCGCCATTTTCAGATAAAGAAACTGAGACTAAAAAAGTTAAGTAGCTTTCTTGGTGTCACACAGCTAGTAAATGGTAGATTTGGGACTGGAACCCTGTCTGAGTCAAAGAATTACCCATGTGGATGATCATCACATTATTTTTTTAATGAAGAAGTGAAATATTGAAGCATCAGTAGGGGAGTTGTTAAGTAAATCATGGTACAATACTATTGATAAAATACCATTCAGCCATCTTTTTTTAAATGTTGAAGAAAAATATTTATTGGCAGCAAGATAAATAAGTGAAATAATGAATATCTGTTTTTAAAATATAAATATTTATGTGAAGAAAGACCCTCATTCCTGCTTTATCCTTATACAAACACTGAAACATACTGTTATTAGATAAATATATGGAAATAGAAGGTGATATTGTTCCAAGGAATTGTAAGGGAAAATACTTGCTCTATGGTAATTTATACTTGAAAATAGACTTCTTTTTTTTTTTTTGAGGCAGAGTCTCGCTCTGTCGCCAGGCACCAGGCTGGGGTGCAGTAGTGTGATCTCAGCCCACTGCAACCTCTGACTCCTGGGTTCAAGCAATTCTGCTGCCTCAGCCTCCCGAGTAGCTGGGACTACAGATGTGTGCCACCATGCCCAGCTAATTTTTATATTTTAGTAGAGACAGGGTTTCACTGTGTTGGCCAGGATGGTCTCGATCCCTTGAACTCGTGATCCGCCCGCCTCGGCCTCCCAAAGTGCTGGGATTACAGGTGTGAGCCACCGCGCCAGGCCTGAAAATAGACTTCCTTAAGAGTCTTCAAGGTCTACAATTCCTATCCTGTTTTCTCCACCTGACCACTTTCTTATCAATCCCAAATAGTTTCGTTGTTGTTGTTATTATTTGTTTGTTTGTTTTGAGATGGAGTCTTGCTCTGTCATCCAGGCTTAAGTGCTGTGGCGCAAACTCAGCTCACTGCAGCCTCCACCTCCCAGGTTCAAGTGATTCTCCTACCTCAGCCTCCTGAGTAGCTGGGACTGCAGGTATACACAATAATGCCCAGCTAATTTTTGTATTTTTAGTAGAGACAGGGTTTTGCCATGTTGGCCAGCCTGGTGTCCAACTCCTAGCCTCAAGTGATCCACCCACCTCAGCCTCCCAAAATGCTAGGATTACAGGCATGAGCCACAGCATCTGGCCCTTCAATTCTAAATATTTACAAGACTGTATTTGTTTTCACAAATGATTTATGTTCTCTTTAATTTTGCGTGGTAACAGTTATATTTTTCCAGAAAAACAAAAGGAAATTCTTTTTTAGAAAACATTATAGTCTCTATATATTTCAACTCTGAAATCTTTAATCCATCTTCATACGTAAAAATAATTAATATATTCAGATTGGCTTTTCCTTTGCCTCAATAGCGATTATAAGAAAGTCTTAGAAGAGTAATGTTGAATAAAGAGAAATTATGTGAAGGCAGGAGAAATGAGAACAGATCTTTGCCCTGCATTTTCTTTTCATCAAAAAGGACATGCATTTACCAGCTCTAAGACTGCAACTATAGAGGTGATGTAAATAAAGTAGGTGATGTGACTGGTCTATTAAACAAAAATCCAAGCAAGCTCTATACCAATTTCTGAGTATCCTCTTGCTAGTTGAGGTAGATTACTAGTGCAAGTTTAACCTGGTCCTGAACCTTTCATTCTACTCCAAAGAACGAGCTTCTATTAAGACACAGGAACTTGAATTTTTTCTACTTTCACTATTTCCAGTATGATATGGAGGGATTTCCTTTGTGATATATTGTCACCTTACATAAGAATTCTGGAGGCTATAGGAAAAAGAAAACCTGATTTCTCTCCTCTCACCCTCACTGTAGCAACTGCCCAGAAGCTCAGTTACTGTGGTGATTAAACTACTCATGGGGTAGTCAGAGCACTTCTTTCTCGCCAGTGGAAAAGTATAGTCACTGATGAGTTTTAAGAAAGAAATCAGTGTTAGGCTTAGGAAATTTTTCAGTGTCTCTTAGGCTCTTGTGTAGTACTTCACATTTGTTTGCTTCATTTTTTGGGTAGCAAATATTTCTACTATGTGGTGTTTCATGTCTATTATAGCATAAAATCAGAACTGTTTATGTAACAATAAGTATGTAATCATACAGCTTTTTCAAACTTATATACATATCTGTTTATTTAAATGCAAAGTATGTACGTATGTATATGTATATAATATGTATTTTATTTTTATTGGCCATTTTCATAAAAACTATTTTTTATTTTATTTTTTTAACTAGAAATTTGATAATTTCTTCCATTTATATATACATGCAGGAAATACTAAAGAATGAAAAATACAGAGAAGAAATCAAAATAAAAAGTGAAGAGTTTTATGGAAAAGAAAAACTCCTTAGTAAAGAGACCAATGAAGAACTCTTGACTCCACCAGTTGACACTCAAATTAAAGGGCATGCCTCTGCTCCATACTTTGGAAAGGAAGAACCCTCAGTGGCTCCCAGCAGCACTGGTAAAACCTATCAGCCAGGATCTTGGATGCCACAAGATGGCAAGAGCCCCAGTCAATGAATGCATCATGGTCAAATCTTTTCATGTATATGAGTGTGACTATTTTAACAAATAAAAGAAATCAAAAGTGAATTGCCTTGTATTTTCTGAATGTACAAAGTTTCCTATTCCATTAATCTTAAGAGTTCATTTTTAGTGTATGCACAAGAAATGTGAGAGTATGTACTATAGAAATCTAACTTCTTTTAGACCTAATTCCTTCATTTGACTAAGTCATTGTTATTTATGAATTTGCTTAGATTTGTTTTTCCCTCGTAGGATTACTCCCTTGAGAAGGATCCTGTAGCCGTGAATCCTCAGTACACTTTGGATCTTTATGATCATTTGGGAACCACTCATAGATATAGCTTGGTAGAAATAATGAGGGTAAAACAGTGAACTTTCCCAGCTGATCAAATATAGGAGAAAAAAAAGAATGAAAAGATTCTTATTTCTGGAGAGGTAACCTGTAAGATTCTAAAAGACTAACCAAAAACGTGAACTTGGATAAAACATGTGGAGGCAAAGAAAACTTAGCTGATTAGTGAAAAAAGTCATTAAGACCTTGATGAGAAGATGGGACAAAAGCTAGCTTATGGTAGGACTGCAGTTGGAATTTGGAGAGGAATTAGGACCGATACAAGTATACAATCCATAACAAAGTCTGAAAGAACAGTAGAGAAAGAAATAATACAATAACTGGAGTTCCGTGAGACTGAAAATTACTTTGAAAAAATAGACAATTGGGGAAAGCTCTCAAAAAGCAGAAATCAATTCCATTAGAAGACAGAAGACAATGTACATGTTAAAACATTACCTACAAAAGTACATTTAAAGGGTCATACATTTTCTGGAGTGCACAACGAAGTTTTTGTTGTTATTCTAAAACCCTCACAGTGTTTAGCATACAATAGATGCTTAATATTTACTGAATGAATGACCCATATTTTTATGCTCTGAATGTAAGTAAATCCTTGGTTAAGCGTTAACAATGAATTCCTAAAAACACAGATTAAATTTTTTACTTAATAGCAGGTAAAAAATTTAACTGCCTAAGAAATACACTACAGAAATAAAGCATTTATACTAAAACAAGTAATCAAGTGACAAAATCAGCACACTTAATGACAAAAAGCCCAACATTCCAGCAGTTGTCATATAGTACCAGGTGAAATATTTTATCTCTACTACACCATTTCAAGGTGGTATTACATTTTACCACAGAGGCAAAAAAGGAACTAGTCACTAGGTAGTATGCAAGGAGATACATCCAGCCAGCAGGGTGGCTCAGACCTATAATTCCAGTGCTTTGGGAGGCAAAGACAGGAGTGCTTGAGGCCAGGCATTGAGAACAGCGTGGGCAACATAACGAGACCCCATCACCACAAAAAAAAAAAATTTTTTTTTGAGACAGAGTCTCATCTGTTGCCCAGGCTGAAGTGCAGTGGTGCCATCTCGGCTTACTGCAACCTTCGCCTCCAGGGTTCAAGTGATTCTCCTGCCGCAGCCTCCCGAGTAGCTGTGATTACAGATGTGCACAACCACTCCCAGCTAATTTTTGTATTTTTAGTAGAGGCAGGGTTTCATGATCCAGTTCAAGACCATGTTGGCCAGGCTGGTCTTGAATTTCTGACCTCAGGTGATCCACCTGCCTTGGCCTCCCAAAGTGCTGGGATTACAGGCATGAGCCACCATGCCCTGAAGCAAAAAATTTTTTTAATTAGCTGGGCATCATGGTGTGTACGGGCAGTCCCAGCTACTTGGGAGGCTGAAGTGGGAGGATCACTTGAACCCACGAGTTCAAGGCTGCTGTGAACTATCATGAGGCCACTATACTCCCACTGTACTCCAGCCTGGTGACATAGCATGACTGTCTCTTAAAAAAAAGAAAAAAGACCAGGCACGGTAGCTCACGCCTGTAATCCCAACACTTTGGAAGCCGAAGCAGGCAGATCACTTGAGATAAGGAGTTCGAGACCAGGCTATCCTGCATGGTGTAACTCCATCTCTACTAAAAATATAAAAATTAGCTGGGCGTGGTGGTGGGCACCTGTAATTCCAGCTACTTGGGAGGCTCAGGCCAGAGAATCGCTTGAACCCTGGAGGCAGAGGTTACAGTGAGCCAAGACCATGCCATCACACTCCAGTCTGGGCTACAAAAGTGAAACTCTATCTCAAGGAAAAAAAAAAGATATATAATTTGTGGTATACGTGGGACTGTGAATTGAGATTAACATGTACTTAACTACTGGACTGGATTGCAGAGAAAATTGTAAATGTTTTAACATACTAGTGTATCTACTGCCAAATTCCTGTAAGCTCATTAATTGCATTCCATAAACACCTTTTGCAAATGTTTGACATATAGTCTGTCTATAAATATCTTAGATATGGCAGAAATTAACTACCAATTTTTATGGTTTTCATTTTAAAATACCTGTTTTGCATAAGCAGGATGAGAAAATCTTGGCCAAGAGACCTTTATAAAAAATGCCTATGTTAACGATGATGATACAGAGCCACCATTATTAGTAGAGCTTGTACTTTCAAGGCAACTTCTGGGGTGGAAATGAATTTGTAATAACCTGTCCATATCCCTTTCCTCCAGGCTAACATGTTAAGGATGACTGGTCACATTAGTTAGGTGGTGTTGGCACAAAGTTAAATATCCTGCATAAAAAGTAAATTATAATCTTGGCCTAATTAATATTTGTCTTTCTAAAGAACTTTTCTTTAAAAACTTGGCTTTTAGGCCAGACACAAAGGAGAATTAAAAATAGTAAATATTAGTTTGCCCACCATATTTCATATCATTGTCTTTTATTATGAAAATGTCAAGACAGATTTTAAACCTATGCCAAAAAAACTTTAATTTCAAAGGTAAAAAACTTCATGCTAACATGAAAAATATTATATACCTTAAGTACTTTATCAGAAGCAAAGTCTTCCATTCTATGCCTCTGCTATTATACATACATAGAGTGTACTTTTGGTTTTTACAAAAATAGCATTACACAAACTGACAAAGTACAGAAAAGCTACTGGGTTTAATTACATAAACCTAGCTTGTTAGCTATGCGTTAGTTACCTGAAGTTAAAAACCAACAAAAATGGAGGAAATAATCATTTTCCATTCCTATTCTTACCAACAGATCTCTGGATGTTAATTAACCTTGAATCAATACCATTATGTTGTTTAAATGCTGTATCATTAACTGAGCTATTTATATGTAACCTGAGTTTATTAAGAGTAGGCTTTCCCATATTATATTTAATTTATTTGGAGAAAGAGAGGTATAGAGGACAATCTATGGTAGTCAAGTTAAAAGACTCCAAGAGATCATCCAGAAAAGAAACTTGTCTCAGTTGTACATGTGTTTCCCAGACTTTGGGTATTTGACCATGTAATCTCTTTTAATATATTTGAGAAATGTGAATTTGTCCTTAAACATTTATTCCAGATATGAAGTAAATCAGCATGATTCTATAACCAGTAGCAAATATAAAAGCATTCATTCCTAAATAGGATCAAATTTCCTCCAATTTAGAACCATATGAAATATAAGGTCTATTTCAACATCAGGTTTCCAGCCCACAGCTTCCTGTGCATATTTCTAGTTTGCTTATTGTAAAGAAGTAAAATTTTAAATGTCCTTATATATCTGATAAGTAGTAACATGCTGAAATTTATCATATGGATACTATGGCTCAAGATCTGGCACATAAACTTTTGCTTATTTTTGATAAAACGTTTGTTACAGGCAGCCTGGGGACAGCTTTTTCCTCCAAAACCAGCTTTAGAAAGGTAATTGATTGTACTTAGTTCTCAGAACTACAATCTCTAGGTATTAAACAATACAAGATATCATTTCTAGGATTCCAGATAATAGTAAATGGGATTCTTTAACAACAGTGCCCTGTTGGCAGTGAGAGATGATTTTTCTGAAGAATCCCAAATCTCATAATACTCCCTGTACTCTCTGACCCCTTACACACACACACACACACACACACATGCACACAGTAAAATCTTGATCTCACATATATAGAAAGGCTGTCTAAATGATTGGGAAAAGTGAAAAAAACAAAAAAAGTATATGCCAAATACAAAATTGGCATGTTGAGATTAACAAATTACAGAAAAACACTTTTAAATATCTTTAAGTTGTTAGAACTGATGAAACCATAACTTCGGTAGATGAATGAGAATTATGACTCTAAAATGTGACCATAAGTAAAACATGTACATAATTATTTCCATGAACAGCTTGATTGCAGAAAACAAAACGAATTTTAGATATATCAGAGACTGATAATCTAAAAGAAGAGCACTGTTATTCAAACTGGTCCATAAACATTCTCAGTGGTCCTTAGGTTCTGAGGAATATAGCCCTAAAGTTTTACAAGTATGCTTAGCTGTAACTGAAATTCTAACCTGCATAACATAATGTAACTTAAGATGTTAGTACCTCCAAAAAAAAAAACAAAATCCAGGACCTCTTTATAAAAAATTATCAAATTTATTTTAATATCTAGTTTCATTTTTAAACTGTAGCTGCAGGGCAATTTTTTATAATTTAAAATTCATTATCAGGGGTACAGAAAACATTAATAAGCTGACTGACAGTGAATTAAATACTAACAGTGAATAAAAATTACTGGGCCATGCATTTATAAAAGCCATGTTTAATAGTAAAATGTTCCAGTTATACTACTTAACTGAAAGAAACATCCTTTAGCTCCTTACTTCCAATTACAGCACATTCTCATTTTGATATAATTTATCCGTTTCGCCCAATTACTGCTATACCCAACAAAATGTTTACAAACTGTATACTTTTCTTTACCACTTATGAAGTATGACTTCACTGTTACTCTTGAGGAGTTGTTTAATAGAAATTTAAAGTTTCACTTTGAACCTGTTTGATCAGAAAGTATTAAATATCACTACCACGAGTTAAAGAATGAAATAAAAAACAAAAGTGGTGTCTATGTAATCAGCGAATTACCTGATAAGACACTAAGTATTTTACAGTTCTGCTTAGCATAAGAATAACCTGGTTCCAAGTTACTACAGTGTTTGGCATTTTTACTGCAAGCTCTAACCATAGTGTTACTCCTCTCAAAAAGCCATCTCTATGAAAATGGCAGTGTTTTAAGTACAAAAATTGTTCTATCCAGTAGGTGGTATTCTACATAGTAAAGATAATTCTTTATAAAATTACATTTTATAAAATGCAAAATGTCTTGATAATTATCAGCTGTCTCAAAGGCTAAAATAAGAAAAATGCAGCAAATAGAAGTACTCATTGATTAATATTTTGTTTTGAGAAAGCCAGAAATGACTGTAAGAAATAATAATAATAATAAAAGATGTAATTAACATACTGTATCTCTTTTAAGCCAAAGCACACTTATCACCTCACGACAGGACAGTTCTGACTTTTACATTTTTAATTTCCTTTGTCCAAAACAGGACCTCATTTTACATAGAGTTCATCTAAATTGAGTTCATAATCTAAATTCATTTTTCCCTATAGGATGTCTTCATTTCAGTACATAAACTGCTAATCAGCAAATTACTAAGTCGGTTATAAGGAATTTGTACCATAATAAATGCTAATTTACAATAACTGTCAATAGAAACCTATAAACTTCTACACCCAAGCCTAAATGTCACTACAGTATTGAGGTCAGAACATGATTCTTCCATTTGGTCAAATTTCATTTACTAAATAATACTGTCAAGAAATCCAAAGAAGAACTTCAGTGGGTTCTTCCAAAGCTGCATAATTTTCCAAATGATTTTCCCTGGTTGCGGAGACTGTTCAGTCCTTCAATCCTTTTTTAGTCGTTTAGCTTTTGCAATGTTTTCTTGGCGTTTTTGTTTCTTCTTTTGCTCCTTCTCCCTTGCCTCAATCATTTTGGCCAATTTCCAAGACAGTACAGCACTTGCTAGGAACAGTGGAGTAAGGGCCAAAATAACAGTGGTAAGGAAGCCGTATGGGTCCTTTGCAGCCCATTCCACAACATACTCAGCCCAAGCCTTTATATCAAACATCTTCATAGCAGTCTTATGAAAACTAGGGCTGGGGGAAGTGGGTGGAGAACACAGAGGGAAAAAAAAAAAAATAAGACTGCAGTTAATCAAATTTTGAAAAAGTTTCATCATACAACCAGTTAACTCAGAATTCCATTATCACTCACTTTGCTTTTTTAAAAAATACTAATTAGTACTAATGTAATAAAGACTAGTATCCCGAGTTAGGAAAAAGTAATTCATCTAGACAGCCAGAATAGTGACACTTCAAAGACGTAAAGTTATAGATGATTAAAAAGAGCCATTTGACTTTATCATAAGGACTATGCATTCTCACATGCCTCCCATATTCAAGAAAAACTTTATTTAACAGGAGACTTTTAAAAGAATCTTGAGTTTTCTATGGTCATTCCAGGAAACAGCTTAATACAGTTTGTCATTTTTTGACTTATCCTTAGTATTACTAATTAACAAAAATACAAATAAGCAAATTTGGTGTTTGAAAAGGACAAGCCACAAAGCATGTGAAATGCTCACAGAGGAGGACAGATGGCTATTTCCAGGAATGGGAAAGAGAGGGTAAGGGAGTCATAACATCACATTAATATGCCAAATAAGCAAAAAGTACTGAGCTATTTTATGCCCTTTCAGCTTTGAGGACCCCTGTTGAAATAAGCCTAATTTAATAAATGAGAAAAGTAGCCTTAACAAATGTCATATGTTTTGTTCCTTTTTGAGTGTAAGAAAAGGCATCTGGCAAATGAGGATTATGTAACTTGAGTGACGGTTTCTATTTTGCCCCAGGGCTTTTCCACCTTTCATGTTTGTGTCAACTTCTTTTCAAAGTGCAGAATTAGAATACCTGGGTAGGGAATGAGTGTACATACATCCTGTTACAATTTCAACTGGAATTTTTAAAGAATCATCTACCTTATGCTTGAGTAGTGATCTCTAACTTTGTCCTGGTATTATTAGTGACCCAATCACGATTCAGATGACCCTTGATTGTCTGTCTTCTTAAGTTCTACTGTATACATCTGAGAGATGGTTTAAATTCTGTACAATTGGTGAGTTGGAGAGAATACAAAAAAGAAAACAAAATTTAAGTCACAACTTTCAGGATAATTGTTAATTAAATTTTAAATGGAAAATTTCTGTATTGTATATAAGCAACCTATATGACATGTAAAATTGCCTGTACGTTATAGTAACTTCATATCTGTTTCTTCCTCATTTGAATTTACCACAATTGCAAATGCCCTGTAAGAAAATCCTAATTACTGAAAATCAAGTATTTTACTAAGTTACTTATTACAATAATAAAATTTTTTTAGTTCACTGACATATAGGAGACAAGTTGGTTCACTGATACCGCACCCATTCCTAGATTTTGAACTTTTTATACTAAAAATGTTGCCATTCATTCCTTTACTGGATTAGGTACACCACTAAAAAAATCAAACACCTTACCTTACTCTTTAAAGGTTTTTGGGGGTCTATTATACAATTTATGTCCTTTTCTTAGAAAATGAGAAGAGATAACCAAAACAAATTATAGTAATCCACCAACAATCCTATTACCCCAGGAAAACTGGTTTTATTGTATCTTTCCACGATTTTCAACTGAACACATATGAAAGTGCCTAATATGTTAAATATCTTAGCTCCCAGACTTCATACGACCTCACCCATACAGTCAGAATTAGGTACTACTGAGATCGACCTGCCTTCACCTTCTCCAGACCAGTAGCGAATAACCAATGTAATTTTCAGAGAAAAGCAAAAGAACTTTGCAGTAAAATAGCCATGGTCCACAGGCCACACATCTCCCTGCACCTCAACTTCGGACCCAAACGCCCGTGCCTCCCACTTTGAGGAATAAATCCTACTCTTCCTCCCAAAACAGATCGACCCGGCTCGATCTCCCAACCAGATCCGCGTGGGCCCTGCAGCTGCAGCTGGTGGCACTTGACGACCATCCGCACTTCCTCCTTTGTCTTTCCCTTCTTTCTTAACGTTTCTCCCTTGCTCACTCTTCCCTCCTTACCCTATCGGGGCCGCAGACGCACGGGGGCCACGTTCACCCCTGCCCCTGGGCCTTAGCAATCTCGAGCCCCTCGTCGCGCAAAGCCGTGGGATCCTGGGTTGGCCCCGCCACACTCTGCGCCGCCGCCGTTTCTGCTGGGTACCGGGAGAAAGGCACTGCAGCGGCGGCCACCTGCCCCCTACTACATCGCCCCAGGGGCTCGGATCCCACTCCCAACTCACCGCCAGACCGGAAACAGGAAGGCGGAAGTCGCGGCCTTTGCGTCCCGCCCACAGGCGTCCCGACCCGCCAACCGAGCGGGAGGAAGTCCAGGGGTCAGTTTCCGGCCGCGCCATTGCTGCGTGGGTCTTGGAACCTCGACTTGTAGGACGCGGGAGGGTGCGGGGCGGGGACAGGGCGTCGCTGAGATTTCCGGGGAGCGGCAGGTGAGGCCGCGCAGGGCGGGTGACGGCACCCGCGCTCCCTTCCGGGCTGGAACCCGAGACTGCCGCGTCCTGCGGGGACCAGGTGGTGAGCGAGGAGGCGTGGAGCGGCTTCAGAACTCGAGCGGTTCCGAAGCGGCTATGGACTTTAGCCTTTGACCCCGAGGTCGATCGAGAGACGACCCCCATCCCCTGCTCTAGCCGGACAGTTGGAGGGTCCCGGGTGGGTGAGGTGTTTGGCTGCGGGAAACTCAAGCGGCGGCAAGAAAGCAGTTGGGTCCCCACAAACCGCCCGAAGTCAAGGTGAGGGCCACACAGCGACTCTTGACGATTGCGACGAGTTCATCCTGGTTCACATCCCACCTCACGCCTCTCTCTTCCAGGTGGACAGTAGTTCTTAGGTAAAGGAGGCAGGCTGCTGGGCCTTGGTGGATCCACCCAACCTTGTTACCAAGGGAAATGCCGCCATGCTGTGTGAAAAGGGGGTTTTGTTGTTTTTTAATAAGCACCTAACTCATTTCACGAAAGAATGATCAATACCTGCCCAGAGTAAACTTGACAACTAATTGAACTGTCAGGGCATTGAGTTCCCATAGAGGTGTTTGTTCTTTCATTAAATAAATAAAGGGATGCAAAAAGAGAAAGAGAACATGCAGAAAGATAAAGAGTGAGTTAATACTGTCTTCTAATCTACAGGCTCTGGTTTGCTTGGTGACCAAGTTTTGTGATTGCTTACACTGTTTGACTACCTCTGACAAATGTTGCAAGACCTCTTCCCTGTTTAATTCTCCAAAGACTATAGAATGTTTTCTTTGAGGAGCAAGATACAACATGTTTAACTGGTTTAGGTAAAACAATAAGTACTATTTACTAGGGGACAGGCTTTTGGCAGATAATCTAACGATCTATGATACTGTTCGTTGGACATATGTTAATGTTTATAATGTTGTATTACCAGCAGTTGTTTTCTTACTCATTTTTATTTGAAAACCTAGGTGATAGTTTCAAAGCCTATGCTGCTTAGGCCTAGCCTGTACTTGTAATAGCCAGAAAAAAGCAGACTCAGTCACTGGATTGTGTGCAGTAAATACTTACTAGAAGTAACTGATTTTTCTGAAACCTCCCCAACTCGTGAATTCAAGATGTGATCAGAATGTATTATTTTAACATTCATCGTTCCAGAGGCCAACACGCGTTTTATTTTAATCATGGTAGATGGTTTTCCCAGTTACTGCCTCTGCATACTTGCAGTGCTGCATCCCTGGTTAAAAGCACAGAAGTCTTGGGCAGGAAGAAAGGGCACATAAGGAGAAAGCCTCTGTAGCTCTTTAGCTGTAATGTAGACCAGGGGTCCCCAACCAAAGAGTGATACCTGGTTTGTAGCCTGTTAGGAACTGGGCCACACAGCAGGTGGTGAGCGATGGGTGAGTGAGCATTTCTGCCTACTGTCAGATCAGCAGCATCATTAGATTCTCATGATGCAAACCCTATTGTGAACTGCAAGTGCCTGGGATCTAGGTTGTGTGCTGCTTCTGAGAGTCTAATGCCTGATGATCGGAGGTGGAACAGTCTCATCCCTAAAGCATCACGGTACCCTGTCCATGGAAAAAATGTCTTCCACGAAACCAGTACCTGATGCCAAAAAGGTTGGGGACTGCTGGCGTAGACCATGCCTTTACAATCTAAGTTTGCTTATCCAGCTTCAAGTTACAGGTCAGTGTGCAAGACCAGGAGCAGCATAGGGGTTGCCACGGTGGAGTTCCTTACTGCAGTCTGCATTGCCTTACCTAAAGGTGATGTCAGGATTGGTTTGAATACTGTGAACTACTTTCCATAGTGAGGAGTCTGAGCTCATGAACTAAGATTCACAAGTCTTGGCTGAGTAATGATATGTATACTCCGATAAATCACTCTGAGTGTTTCTCCACTTATGTGTGTAGAAAACATGTTAGGCCATCTCCAGTGCCCTTTCAGCTTTAAAATCTATAAATTGGACTCGATTTGGTCATTTATCTAACTTAAATAAATAGCATAGTAAGATATTTGATATAAACATCATTGCAAGTTTTCCTAAGGTCTTTTTTTTTTAAACATGGTCTTGTTCTGGCCCAGCTGGAATGCAGTGGCACCATCATAGCCCACTGCCTCTTCGAACTCCTGGCCTCCAGGGATCCTTCCTCCTCACCATCTGAGTAGCTGGGACTTATAAGCCACAAGCCACTGTGCCCAAGTTAGCATCCTCACTGTTTTTAAAAACTATGACCAATGTTAATTTTTTGCTTAATGTATTCAGTTCTAAGTCAAGCCCAACTACAGAGAATGAGGTTCAGTAATTTTTGTTTGTTTGAGACAGGGTCTCACAGTCACCCTGGCTAGGTGCAGTGGCTCCATCACAGCTCACTACAGCCTTGACTGCCTGGGTTCAAGAGATCCTCCCACCACAGCCTCTAGAGTAGCTGGGTGTACAGATGCATGCCACTATGCCCAACTAATTTTTAAAATTTTTTCTGTAGAGACAGGGTTTCACTGTTTTGCCCAGGCTGGTCTCAAACTCCTTGCCTGAAGTGATCCTCCTGCAAAGGCTCCTTTCAGGGTGCTGGCATTACAGGTGTGAGCCACTGTTCCAGGCTGAGATCTTATTTCTTTGAAAAGATTCTTAATCAGGTTTTCATTCTCTCTCAAATGTCTGTCACAATACCAATTTAGAATAACAAGGAAATAAGGTCTGCTTTACTTCTAAAATATAAAATCTTATTCATGTAAGTTAAACCAAATTAACTAAACCTTATGCTGTTAATTAAGTAGGGCCTGCCTTTGCATAAGATAATTCCTGCGTAGTATATCATACCACCAGCCTCTTCAGCACTAGTGTACTCTATTGCAATTATATTTTATAAGTAGAGCCTTATAAAATTCTTCTTTTGAGAATGGAAGCCCTGTGGCAGTCATATGCCATTTTTTTGCTTAAAAAGTACTTTTCCCTTTGTTGGTACAAAATTACATCTCATTCTAACCCATGTCAAAGTTGTAAGTAGTGAAACCAGAATAAGATTCAGATAATATTATTTGAAGATAATATAGTTTAGTAACAATTTAGTCTTGACTAAAAGACTTTGAGAGTGCTCTCACCTGCATCTGATATTGATGGAATTGATTTTTTTCCCTAAATTTTATTTTGTGAGGTTGTTTTCTTCCATTGAAGCATAGTGCAAATACATTTCTTAATAGGCATATTTGTGTGATATTTATTTATTTGAGGCGGAGTCTTGCTCCCTTGCCTAGGCTAGAGTGCAGTGGTACAATCTTGGCTCACTGCAACTTCCACCTTCCAGGTTCAAGCAATTCTTCTGTCTCAGCCTTCTAAGTAGTTGAGACTACAGGCGCAAACTACCATGCCTGGCTTATTTTTATATTTTTTGTAGAGACTAGGTTTTACCATGTTGGGCAATCAGGTCTCTAACTCCTCAGGTGATTTTTTCCGCTTCACCTCCCAAATTTCTGGGATTACAGGCATGAGCCACTGTGCCCGGCCAGTAATATTTTTTTTAGAGTAATCAGATTTTAGCAATATTTGAAAGCTTATACTGAAGAAGAAGAATTTTTTCAAAGCTACTTATTGTGACCAGGTGCAGTGGCTTATGCGTATAATCCCAGCACTTTGGGAAGCAGAGGTGGGTGGATGATCTGAGTTCAGGAGTTCGAGGCCAGCCTGACCAACATGGTGAAACCTGTCTCCACTAAAAATACAAAATTAGCCGAGTGTGATAGTGCATGCCTGTAATCCCAGCTACTTGGCTGGCTGAGGCAGGAGAATTGCTTGAACTTGGGAGGCAGAGGTTACAGTGAACAGAGATCATGCCATTGTACTCCAGCCGGGGAAAAGAAAAAAAACCCCCACAAAAAAAAAAAAAAAAAAAAAAAAAAAGGGCTATTAATGAATAATATTATGTACCAGGTGCTGGGCTAGGTGCTTCATACATATTATTACTAATCCTGACACTAAACAACCCCACAGGATTGTATTCTTATACTCATTTTACAGGTAGGGAACCAGAGACTTTAAAAATAAAACAGTATTTTTAAAAATACGTCTGCCCAAAATCTCTGCTCTTTTTAAATCAAAAAACAACACAATTGTAGAATCAAAACACATACTTCCATTTTATGAAATCAGCATTTTTTGTCTTTTATTTTTCTTGACAAAAATGCTGATTTTATCAAATGAAAGTATGTTTTTTGATTCTATAATTGTTAACAGATAATAACTAAAATCCCCCCAAACTTCAAAATTGCCTATTGCCCAGGTGGTGGCAGCATGTCTCAGAGAGCTAATGTGCTGGGGAAAGTTTTCTCTAACTTGCCAGTTGATTGGCTTCTTCATCCCACTTAAATGACATTATAAACCTCTCAGTTCTCTGTTGGGCTCTTTCACTGCTATTAGACCATCCCATCAATGGTTCATGGTCCCATTAGCCTCATCTTCTGAATGGATCATACTCTGCCTGTTTCAGCCTGTTTTCCCTGCAAAGTATGATCAGATTATTTTCTAGAAAACTCATTTAGGCCTATCCTATAAGTTCTTTCAGTTATTATTTTTTCAACTATTAAGTGTTATTTGGCAGAAACACCTCCTAAACTAAATATTAGTTAATATTATTAAGAAATGCTTGTTTAAATTAGAAGGCATGCATCTTAAACTTAACGGAATATACCAATTAAAGGAGATAACGAAAAGCTTATAAAAGATAGAATTAGTCTTCAAAATAAAAACAAGATTCAGTAGGGAACAATACAAGGTTATATAATTTGAAAGGAATGTGTATAAATATACAGCAGAATAACTTGTTAAACCTTCATTAGCCAAAAATTGCTTAAAACATTCTTTTCATATCTTTGCAGGGCTACTGCCTTCCTAGAGGTTTCAGATGAAGTGCTACCTATTACAAAAAACATCTCCATCCCTATAACTTATTTTTTTTCCCACAGCTCTTATCTCAAACTGATATCTTGTTTACTGGTTCAGTATTTTCCCAATAGAATGTAAGCTATATGAGGTCAGTTACCCCAATACCTAGAACATTGCTTTAAATAATTGACTTCACGATATAGCATTGCTGCTTACAAATAAAACTGAGAATGTTTGAAGGAATTATGAAATAATGTAAATCCTGGTTATTTGTGAAGCTCATAATAAAGTACCAAACTGTTGAAGTATGTTTTGAAACTGAAATACCCTAGTAAGAAGAGATCTAAAGATTAATAAGATGTTTGGGGAAAGGCTAAAATAATTGTAGTCATCTTGTTAATGAGCAAAGACTAGTTATTTAATGATTTCCAAGTTTGTAAAAGTATTTAAAGTAGTGATTCATTATTTTCATTGATAAAATAAAAGGAATTCGTCCTAGACTCTAGGTGCTACGATTTAAGATGAGAGCAAGCTAATCTAGAGATCTAAATAGAGATCTTTGAAAATGAGATAAGAGTGTATATGCAGACTAGATACCCTCACTAGATACCTTGCAGCCTGTGATTGCAGGGGAAAGATTAGATAGTAGGTGCTTCTCTTGTTGATTATTCCTTGCTGCCCATGGCCATTTCCATACATTTTAAAATCAATTCTTTGTGTTTTGAGCACAGTCAATATAGGTGATTATATATTGCTGTTTTGGGTAGTTTATAGAATTTTGTTGACATAATACTGAAAATTGGGTGTTTGCTTTTTTAACTCCAAAACTTCATATTTGCAGTGCTTAATCTTCAGAATGCCACGTGCTGCAAACTACTTCCCTGTAGTTAGAGCCTTCCTTTTGGAGGAGTAAAATCTCCAGTAAATCTGAAGCCTTGGGTTGAAGTCCTGCTAAAATTGTAAGAGACCCGAAACTTTCTGGCTGAATCTAGAGGATCAAATATTAGGCCTGTCCCTAAATGATTTTTAGCTGTGTCAGGTGACTTCTTATTTCTGTACTGGGTTCTCCTAGCCATTAAATTAGAGTTGCTATCGCATTGGGAAGACTCTAACTCATGTTTAAGAAGCCTTCAGTGTAAAAACTTTGTATTGCAAAAGCAGCCCCTAGCATGATTACCTTCACCAAGTAGCATTTTAATTTGGAGCTTCTGCCTTCACCTAAGCTAACTGCTTAAAGTAATCATGCAGAAATTTTTAGCTGTGTTTGCTATATGATGCTGTAAAAGGTATAGTCCTCTGTGTCATATTGTGCCCTTTAATTTTTTTATATTTTAATTTTATTAGAGATGGTGTCTTGCCGTGTTGCCAGGGCTGGTCTCAAACTCCTGGCCTCAAACAATCCTGCCTCGGCCTCCCAAAGTGCTTGGATTACAGGCGTGAACCACCACACCCAACCTCAGTGTCCCTTATATAAAGTCCCATGTAAGATATAATAGTATGTGATTCTAGTAATAGTTTTGGAAGCCACTTTTTGATAGAATTTTGTTAGGAAGCTCAAGAGCCAAATTTGAAGTTCATGTTTAACATTCATCTTGACCTGCATGCTTGTATTTCTTTTTAAATACACTTTTCATAGAACAGATATCCTTTATCATTATTGTATATGCTCACATAGGAAGACATGACAATGCTTTGTAAAATAAGATGGGATATAGGTTGCCTGTAGGTAAGGTGTTTGAGTCTCAGAAGTTTACATAGAGACCCCTGATATGTAACAAGTAGTTACAAGTAAAATTCTCCCACTGATCCATATTTTTATATTTATTTTTAAATCTCTATTCAGAACCATTAGTTCTCATTCAGAACTATAGAACATAAAAAAATCATTTGGAATTGCATCCCAAAGCCTAATTCTAAAAGCTAGTTTGTGTCTTTAAAAAGCTCTCAGAGTATAATGCGTATATTTGGAATCTAGTTTTAAAAATAAAAATTTAATGATACCAGGCTATAAATATAGTTTCCTAAACCATCACTTACACATCCTAGTCCCTCACTTAATTTTTCATTGCTTCTGCTGAGTTTATGTTTTTAGCCTTCCTGGCTTAAGGAAGTGAAACAGTCTGAAATCAGAAACTCCATTCTGTTTTATACAGGTATTGATCAACTTATGACCTATGCAACTTACGACCATTCGACTTTACAACCACAATCGCTAGCCACGACCGCTCCACGTCTGGCAGCGCAAACGTTGCCCAGCTGGGCGTACGACAGTGCGGACCAGCTTCCAGCAGCACCACCATCTCCGCGTGCACCATTTCAACTGTTATCCCAGGCTCGGTACAGCAATTTGTGTTTTGTGTCTTGGATATTTTTCATCAAACCCCTCCCAAGATGTCTACCAAGAGGAAATTGTCTTTGTCTATGCCTCAGCCTGCCAAGAAGGGAAGAAAGGCCATCAATCTTGACACGAAAATGAAGGTAATTAAGCAGTATGAAGGAGGAAAGAAAGTGAATGTGATCGCACGTGATACGAAGTTATCACACTCTACTGTGTCGACGATTTTGAAAGATAAAGAAAGAATTCGTGAAGCTGTGAAAGGTTCTGCACCCATGCAATCAACAGTTATAACAAAGCAACGAAGCGGGCCCATCCACGAAATGGAGAAATTGCTATATATTTGGATGGAAGATCAAATTCAAAAACGGACACCATTAAGTCTTTCTACTGTGCAGACAAAGGCAAGAAGTCTATTTCAGACTCTGAAGGAGCGTGCTGGAGAAGATTACAGTCAAGAATTTGTAGCAAGCACTGGCTGGTTCCAGAGATTCAAGAAAAGATTCCAAATGCATAGTGTTCGAGTGACTGGAGAAGCAGCGAGTGCGGATGAGGAAGGGGCACGTAAGTTTGTTGATAGTCTGGATGAATTAATTACAGATGAGGGATATATAGCAGAACAGATTTTCAATGTTGATGAAACTGGATTATTTTGGAAACGGATGCCAGCACACACTTATATTCACAAAGAGGCCAAAAGCATAGTAAAACTCGCGAAAGACCTTTCTTTGGAGTGTGAAATGGAAGATGTCGAAGAGTTGCTAGACGAAGAATCCGGAGAACTTACAAATGAAGAGCTAATCGAACTGGAAGAAGAAAGAGTGGCGGAAGAAGAAAGAAGAGGAGCAGAGAAAAAAGAGGAGGAGCCAGAAAGAAAGTTCACCATTAAGGGATTATCAGACGGTTTATCTTTACTGAATAAACTTCTTATACATTTCGAAGCAATGGACCCAAACATCGAACGATTTGCAAGGATTGAACGGATGGCGCACGATGTGTTTCGTCCGTATCGTGAAATTTATGAAGAAAAAAAGAAACATACAATTCAGACAAAGCTCACCATGTTTATGAAAAAACCAACTCCAGTAACCCCAACTGCTGCCTCAGATGACGATATCAACGATCCGCAGCCAAGCACCAGCGGCCAATAAAATGTTTTGTACATGTTTATATATTTTGATATGTTTTGCAATTGGGAAAATGTTTCCTATGGAATTCTTTACGCCTGTATTTTGTATTTTTGTATGTTTTGTAAATATTAAACCAGTTGTACTGGTAATGCAGTGTTTTACTTAAACCTGACGAATGTAAAAATAAGAAAATGGTGTAGAGATTATAGAAATGGCATAAAATGAACAAAGAAAATTATGATACATAACAATGAAAGAAAATTATGATAAAATATGATTTAAAGATTTTTATAACATCATTTCACAGTACTGTACATATAGCCTATTCAACTTATGACCAAATCATGTTACGACCGGTCTGTCGGAACCAATCGTTGTCGTAAGTCGAGCACTAGCTGTATATGTCTTCTTGAAGTATGATAAGCAATACTGATGAGTTTAATGAGTTTCTGGAGGCTTTGAATTTGAAATTTTCCAAAGTTCTTAGATTTGCCCTTGATCAACTAATTTCCCACTTTCTGTAATAAGCAGATGATAATTTCTGCCTTCAAGAAAGTTGGACCAATTTTTTTAATCTCTAGGTTTTAATATTGTATTGTAGGACTGTGCCACACTTGTAGAGTTGTACCGTTAATGAATATAGATGTATAGGACTCTGATATTATCTCTAGTTCTGGATTCATATTTTATCTCATTATGTGGGTCAAGGAAACTTTATGCCTGGATTCTTATAGCTATAAAATAGTATTAATAATACCTGTTTAATAAACATGTAACTTGCTTTTGATAATAAAGGTTGTATTCTGTAGAATTTATTCGTAAGTTGATTGTTGGCAGCTAACATAGATTGTCACGTAATTAATATTATAAATAGTAGTTAAGTTCTTCATTTAGCCTGTAATTGCAGATTTGACACACAGCCTAAGTGGCAATAGTGCCTCTGTGTAAAAAATGGTAGAATTTTTAATACAGGTAATAAATAGTGGCCAGACACAGTGCCTCACGCCTGTAGTCTCAGCACTTTGAGAGACTGAGGCAGGAGGATCTCTTGAGCCTAAGAGCTCAAGACCAGCCTGGGAAACATGGCAAGACCTCCCATCTCAAAAACATAAATTAATAAAATTTTTAAAAGTAATAATTCAATGAGTTTTTGATTGCCTTGTACCACAGTAAGATTTTATAAAGAGTTACAGAAAATGTATTTGTCTTGGTCCTTTTTTTCAAACTTTTATATCGTGGAAGGTATGAATGCTTTGTCAGCACTTTTTGGACCATTTTACTATATATGCAGCATGACATACCTTACATGCAGTACAGGAATCACTTTTTGTTGCATCTGTCTTTAAATCTGCTAATCCTTTTACACCACAGAGAACTCAAAGCTATACATCGGTCTGTAAATTATTCATGCATGTATGTAATGCATATGGAATATAGTCCTATATGTTAACTGTGATGTGGCCTCACCCTGTATCCCCCACTTTATTGTCTATAGAATGAGATACAAACTCCTTAGAGGATCCTAGAGATCCTACTAGTCTGGCCCAGACTCCTTATGAATCTTTTGAATGATAGATTTATTTCAGACCTCTGTAATTCCAAGACATGCCTTCTGGTTCAGTGGTTGAGAGTATAGACTCAAACCAAACTACCTGGTTTGAATCCCAGCCCTGCCTCTTGCTAGGATGCTGCTGCTGTAAGAATGTACCTCACAGACCTCCAACTACAGGGAGCTTTAATTCACCAAGGGCCCCAGCTGCTTGCTATGCTGTGAAATCCATCACTGTGTTTGTGCTAAGACCTTGCTTTTGTCACAGTTCAGCAACTGAGCATCATAGAGACTTGAGGAGACACAAGACTCTCCTAATAGCCAACTTAGGCTCAAGGACATTCCCCTTTGCTTTGCCAACCCTTCCTTAGGCTACATGGCAGTCTGGTACACTTCCACCAAAAATTCCTTCCCTCTCTGACATTTGGGGTCAAACTTGCATCCTAGTGTGATAGTCCACCAGTTCTTTCCCAGCTCCTTCCCCATCTTCTCTCACAGGTGTTTTCCCTAATAAAAAGTCTTACACATTTAATCCCACCTTGGCATCTGCTTCTGAGGTAAAATTGGAATAGTAAAATTGGAATAGTCCCATCAATTACCTGACCGAGAAGATGCCACCTTGGTTGGTAGATGGAGCATTCATAATCCCTGGCATAACTTTGCAGCTTAATTGCTTGATTTCACCAGTGTTGACTTAGAACCATGTCCCAGTAGAGGGAAATAATGGTGGTAAGTGTGATGCAGGCATTTGAAGACAATGCCTGCAAGGAGAGCAGAGTTAGCTGGTTGTTGCTGACATATTTAAACACTACAGATGGAAAAGGAGAAATGGGACTGTTAAGCAGTGAATAGCTAAGTATGAGAGGCTCTGTGGTAACTTATAAAGAGGGCTTTATCACCTATAGGGCGGATTCCGTTGAACCACAGGTTCTAAGGCTAATTAAGAGTCACAGAGCTCCAGAGACATTGGAGCACTGAATATTTAGACCAGGCAGGTCTATTGTAAAGGTACAGAAACCTGGGATTCTGAACATGAGATGAGGTCTGGATGGATGCCCCTGCAGCTCCCTCTGGGCCCTCTGGTCTAACAAGCATGTCTGCTATGCTGGAAGATAAAAAATCTTGTTGCTGCAAGGCAGTAGCCCTTTCTCCCACCTTCTCCAACTTCCCTACTTTCTATACTGACTGCCAAGCCAGTAACTAGGATTAAATCCCTATATAACCCAGATGGGACATGCTGAAGTACTGGCAAGAACCAGGGAGCACTCTTGGGATTGGATTTTAAGGGTGCTTGGGTCCGTCGACTAAGCTGTCATAGTGAGGAGAGCCAAGTAAAACACTGAAACTGCCTTCCACTCCTGCCAAGATAGTAAATCAGACACAATATTGTATTCTGGAATAACGGAAATTAGTCCCACTATTTAAAACCTGAAGGATAGAGGAGTGGTGGTCCCAATCCTATCTTTTAATTTGCAGGCTGGTCGTTAAACTAAATAGATCCTAAACAGTAACTATACAACCCTGCTCTCAGCTGCTGTGCTGGACTTACTGCTAGAGCAGTTCAATACAGATACATGGTATGTACTCTGATTTGGTAACTGCATTTTATACCATTCCAGTTGGAAAACAGGATCAGAAATAGTTCACCTTCATGTAGAGCAGACAAAAATATTCAGGCTGAGTTCTGCCTCAGGCTATGCTAACTCTCACTCTCAGTCATAATATGAAGAACTCTGGACCATCATCCCTCAGAACACCACACTGATGCAGTTTGTTGACAACATCCTACTTGTTGGACAGGATGAGGAAGAGATGGCATGGTGAAGGTCTTGATAAGATACATGAGTGCCAGAGGGTGGGAGAAAAACACTGAAGATTCAGAGACCAGTCACAGTAAAGTTTTTAGAGATCCAGTGTTCAGGGCAGTGTCAAAGTATCCTCTCCGAAGTGAAAGACAAATTGCTGCATCTTACAGCCTCTACACCAATAAGGAAGTATAGCACTAGTATTCCACATCGAGGAGTAATGCACCAGCTCATCATACACCAGGTGACATGGAAGGCTGCCCGCTCTGAACAGGGCCCAGAGCAGGAAAGGGCTCTGCAACAGTTCCCGGCTTCAGGTGCAAGCAGCCCTGACACTTGCATCATATGACTCAGCAGACCACAGTGTGTCAGTGGTGGGAAAAGATGTGGTGTGGAATTTATGGCAAGTTCGGTGGAAGAGTCACAATATGGGCCCCTGGGATTCTGGAGCAAGGTGATATCTGCAGCAGAGAATTGTATCCTTATTGAGAAACAGCTCTTTCATGTCAGTGGGTGCTGTAGAGACTGAATGCTTTACCATGGGACACTTAAACCTGTTCCTCCTCCTTATCCTTGAGTGACTGATTCTCTAACTCAATATTTATTAGTTGACATTCTACTGAAAGAAAGCATTTTCCTTTCTCCCCTAGACATTTGTTTATTTGTTTATAAAAGAATGAATTCATGGATTCTTTGTCAACAAACCAAATACTGTTACTGTTGTTACTTATTTTGATGTTCTCACTGTCCCAGATTTGACCAATGGGAGCCCCAGGATGTCTATGTCCTTTACTTGTGTCCTCATCATTCTTTGGGGCCTTTCTTACTTTTTGGTACAAGATGTTTCGGCTCATCTTGTACTGTTCCCACTCTAGCCCTGCAATTAGCTATTTCTCCAAGAAGCTCTGCTTCCTTTCCACGTAGAATGGTATTCAGGTACCAAGATCTACTGAGTGTCAGGTTTGCTCATTGCTACTGGTGTGTCATAGCTTGTAGTCGTCTCTCTCAACAGACAGATACGTATAAAAATATTTATTTCTAGCTACTAAAAACCGTGAATTTGTACTGTTATCTTCAACTCCAGTCAAACACTGCTTTCTAGTTTCTCCCTTTTCCATATTTGTGACTCCTTTAACAGAAAGAAACCTGGCTGCCATTATCCTCAAAATGTTTATTCATTTGATCATGACTAGAATACACAGAAAGTAATTTTAGAATTGCTAACTCACTACTGTGAAAATAAAGCTTACTAGATTTTTAGGTGACCTGTCTGTTTCAATCATCTTTCAGCTTGGCAGCTGAATGCCATTTTTTAAGTAAGGTTAACATATTCAAACTTAAGCCCCAAATAACCCTATCTAGGCCATGAGAACTGGATGGTTGAGAGGCATATTAAAGGGCTATAGGGATTCAGCAATCTTTAGGTTACTAGCTTTAATCCTCGCATCTGCTGTAACTAACAGTGGTTGACACAGAATTATTTATGTTGGCTAATAGTAGCTGATCACGGCTTTATCTTCCAGGTCTTAGTGATTATAATCATGTCACCGAGAATTGCTACCTCAGCTGAAAGAATGGGCAGATTTCCCCCAATGGTGCTGTTTAATCTTTTTAAAAGCAAACGACAACAGATTGTTCATAAGTAATTTCTGCGCATGCAAAAAGTACTTAAAGCACAATTCTGTTACATCTATTACAAGTGTGCAATATGATCATATCCTTTTAAAAATCCCATCAGGTTTTACAAGCTACAAATATTTTTGAACAAATATTTAGAAAATGATTCAAGGAAAAAAGTGCTATCAAAGGCAGTACTTTGAATCTGGAAGGCCAGTGCTTACTCTCTGCAGCAAAAACAAATTGGTTTTATGAGATGTCATTTTGTAGTTGGAATATAAATTTAGTTTAGGATTTTGTGTAAATGTGCTGTCAACTTCAGGTTTGAAGAATGCAAGTCATTTGTGCCTTCATAAGGGTTTCTTTTCACTTTTAGTAGTTTGTGTAGTTTTGTTAAATATCATTAAACACTTTTAACGTGCATTTTTAGCATTAGCTGGTAAGCATTCCACAGATGACTGAATCCTTTAGTATTGATAGGGCCTTTGAGGAAGGTTTAAATTATATTTATTAACATTAGTATTCAGTGTTGTTCGATACATTGGCTTGTCCCGCTAAAATGAGCAATAAACTTAAAATTGATTACTCTCATCAGCTTAATATCAGTACATCAACTTGCCTATTTTGCTTGATATTTTACCTTTAGATTTACTGTACCTGCTCTTTACTATAACCAGATTTTGTGTTGAGTCATTAGAGTGTCTGGCCTATTTTCTACGAACTTGTATAAGTAAGAAAATGTTAGGAAAAAAAGAAGAAGCACTTTCAGTCCTTGGAAAGCACATTGACCTAATTCATAAGGCCTGTAAAGGCTGGAATTGTGCAAGCTGCCCTGCCTTGATATTACCTTGTCTAAAGGGCCTTACGTTAATGCAGCTATGGTTAGAAAATTAAACAAAAGTATAAATTTATTATTAGAAAGTACACCTGTCAGTTTACTCTTAGTTCATCTCTACCAAAGCATATGACATTTGTTCTACAAGAAAACCATTGATGTGCATGCTCCTATTTTTAAGACAGTCTAGTTGGGATTCCTTTAAGGTAAATTAGTTTTTATGCAGAGTATCATCATTAAATGCCTGTGGTAGGCAGTGTCTAAGATGACTCCCAAAGATATTGTCTTCCTAATATTTGTGTCCTTGTATTATCCCCTCCCGTTGAGTTTGGGCTAGAGCTTTTGATAAACAGAATCTGGCAAAAAGCAAGGATGTCACTTGCAGGTTATAGATAACCTCTGGCTTCCACCTTGCTCACTCCCTCGTTCTCTCACATGCTTACTTTAATGGAAGCCAGTTGCCATGCTACAAGCTGCCCTGATGAAAGGCAGGAGAGCCAAAGAAAGCTTCTAGCCAACAGCCAGTGAGGAGCCAAGTCCTGCCAATAGCCAGTCGAGTGAGCTCACATGCAAGCTTTCCTCCTCCCCACATGCAGCCTTGGCTAACACCCCATGAATGCAGTCTTCTGAGAAACCCTGAGTCAGAAAACCCACTAAGCTGTGCCCAGATTCCTGACCAAGAGACACTGTGAGAGAAAGGCTGCTTGAAGTTGCTAAATTTGGGGATGATTTCTTACCCAGCCATAGATAACTAACACAATATCCTTTAAAAAAAAAAAAAACAAAAAAACAAAAACAAAAACCTGAGGCAGGAGAATTGCTTGAACTCAGGAGGCAGAGGTTGTGGTGAGCCGAGATTGTGCCATTGCACTCCAGCCTGGGTAACAAGAGTGGAACTCCGTCTCAATTAAAAAAAAAAAAAAAAACCATCAAACTTCCTATTTTCTTCATACAGCTTTAACTAGCATTTGAGATCATGGTTTTGCACAGTGGATTTCAACCCTAGCTGTACATTGAATCACCTGGGCAGTTTTTTAAACCTACAAGTACCTAGGCTTCACCTTGAGCAATTCCACTTGAATTGGTCTGCAGTAGGGTCCAGGCCTCAGTATTTTGTAAAGTTCCCCAGCTAATTTCAGTAGGCAGATGAAGAATCACTGATTTGACACAAGGGGACTCGTTAGCACTTTCTGAGTCCTGGGTGTATTGAGCAGGGTATGGAGCTCCCTATCATAAGTAAGGAGAGAAGACCAACATGTAAGAAATAAATTACAAGGTGGTATAAGAAACACAGAAGAGGAAATAACTAACTTAGCTTGATAAATCAGAAAAGGTTTGACAGTGAAAATGTTAGGCCATTTCTTAAGTTTAAGTGTATCAAAAACTAGTCAGCAAGAACACGGGGAAATAAACATTCCAGGTAGAGGAAAAGCAATAGTACAGGCACACAGCTTTCAGAGAATAAGCAGGGAGATGGTATACTCATATTTGAGTAACAGGGCAGGAAAAAACTCCAGAGCGTAGGGGGAGTGTTGACAGAACACAAAATTAGGCCTTTGGAGACCAAAGGATGCTAATACAATAGTCTAAGCACGAAAGATGAGGACAGCCTGTGGGGGTGATGACCTATGGTGGTGGACAGTAGGGGCGAATGAATTTGCTAGTCAGGATCTACGATGGCTAGAACATGGAGGGAGGCACTGAAACACAAAGAGAGGAGCCCGGGATGACTCCCAGTTCTGGTTTGTTGATGTGTAGGTGGAAAACTAACTTTGGCAGCATGTACAGGGGAAGTAAAAGCAGAAGATGGAGGGAAATGATCCCTACATCTGAAACTGGAACAGTTCCGTTTTGGACCTGTTAAGTTTGAAGCCTCAGAATAAACAACTGGTTGCAGTTGGCCCTCAAAATGAAAACCCAGTTGCCATGTCACTTGCCAGAAGAGCACATGCTTGTGGATGATTTGGTTTATTTGGAAATAATCGAAAACTACCTTCTATTTTGTTACTTTGGTGACTTGCAGTCAACTTTCAGTGAGACTGGGAAGATCTTGAAAATTACCTATATTGACATTTGGAACACATTCCATTGCATTAAACCAAAGAAGCCTTTAAGACTGAACAGGCATGTTGCTTTTCACTGTTGTCCACTGGCTACAGTTCACACCCACTAAACTCTTTTCTTAGGCACTGTTGCTCCACATAAGCAGGTAATGCCTTGGTTTGCCCAACTATTGGTAGAATTTTGAACTGACAGCAAATTACATTGTGTCATAAGGTGGGAAGGCAACATCCACATATCCCTATTATGATCTAGTCATTGTTTCCACTTCAAAGGAGTGATACATTCAGCTCAGTGCTTTGGTTAAGCTATGTTAGCTCCATTAATCAGAATGAAGCTACATATTCCCATTGTGAACCTGACACTGAAATATATGTTTTCCAGTTTCAATCTACACACTTACCTTAAAAAAAAAAAGGGGGGGGGGGGGGAGCAGAGATGTTTAGTATTCCCAATATTTACTTTTGATAAGCTTATACTTTTGAACTTTTAACACTATTTTATTTCTTCCGTACTCACAGCTCATATGCCCCGACAAGAGTTGGAGAAGCCACAGGGAAATACAATTGGATCTTACTCTGAAAGGAAGGATTACAAGGTCTCGACATCAAGGCTGCCTTGAGGCTGGTTTAAAAAAATGCTGATGTCCACATAACACGTATCTCTTAAGTAAATCAAACCTGTAATTCAGCTTGGCTGCTTCTAAGTCATTTTGATTCCTGCCAACAGAACATTAATGAACTTAGCTTCTCCACTGGTTTATTCACGTGTAATACCCAATTCCTTCTTCCTCGTTCCAGCAGCTGCCCCTGGTCCATCTGATAAGGTGGAAAGCTGGACTAGGTTGTACGAATCCAGATCGTTACTTAAACCCACATTATTGTAGACAGTGTTCTTCTCTCATTCTTCTCTCTGATTTTCAAGTGGCAAACAGAAGAAAGTTTCTAGGGCTTGGGTTTGGAAAAAAGAATTCATACACTCATAATTCTTGTCTTGAAGAAACATTTTATAAATTTTAGCTTCTACTTTTATTCTTCTTTTGACAATGATAAATAATTCCATTATATTGCAGTTTTGCCCTTGGATCTTGGTTTACCTCCATGGATTTATAGTTACGTGAATATTCTAGAACAAGTAGTCCTCTAGATTTCCCCAAATGCCCTGAGACTGATATAAGAAGCGTCCTAAAATTGACCTGAACCTAAGTTTTCAAAAATATAAAATAATATAAAGCAGTTGTGATTAAACTTGTCTACACAGTAGAATCACCTTGAGATCTCTAAAATGCCAAAGCCCAGGCCATATCCCAAACCAATTAAATCACTGTTTCTCAGGATGGGACATGGTGTCAGGAGCACTTTAACTCCCCTGGTGATTCCAATTTGTAGACAAGCTTGGGAACCACTCACCTAGACAACTGTGTTACTTGAGGATTCTGAGTGGGCACAGCCATGGCATGTTCTCCTCCACTACCCAGCCCTGCCCTTGGTGAAGTGTTCTCTGCTATCCGGCTTCTCCATCATCTTCTTCCACCTGATTCGTAGAGACCTCTGGACACCTGAGCCCAAGCAGGGCCACTAAGTGAGAGGGAATTCCATACTGAAAAGCAACAATGAATGTATCAAGGACCCCAGATGGGTATAAAATAGATTATGGCAAATTTTGTAAAGTAATTGTTATCATCTTTTTTCCTGATAGCAAAAGTTTTATGTCAAAGATTTTTCTCTTCCATTTTTAGTTTTTTATGCAGTTAGTTTTAGGAAACTCCGATCTGTTAAGATGACATTGTTTTTCATGCTTTGGGCGATTGTTTTAGAATTCCTTGTTTGAGTTGAGCAACTTTAAAATATCTAACTAGGGGGTATTATGTGTGCTGAGTGAGAATTGTTCATTTGCCTTCTTTAAAGAAACACAATTTGACACAAAACATAGGTATTTAAATTTTTATTTTCTGTGTATACACAGCACATTACTTATTTATTTAAGCAACCACTGGCTGTGCAAAAACTGAGGGAAACATGAGTTTAACAATTGTTTACCATAGCCTTTATCACAACTCAGAACTCTGGCATTGTACAAATAATCACATATTGCCTTATAAAATTAGAAAACTAATCCAGTAAAATAATGATTTTGCTCTCTGTATCTCAGGAGAGATAAATTAAAGGAAATATTTTAATTGAAGCTGCTAGGTGGTTGTGATTATCTGAATAGGTACAATCTTGACTTTAATGAATTAACAGGTAAGCTTCTTTCTATGAGGTTGGTGCTAAAGTAATTGCAGTTTTTGGTAATTGCACCAACCTAATAGAAGTACTTCATTAATTTTAAACCATATTTTATGTAGAAACCATTTATACTTAATTTCTGGACTTGTGTTTAATTAAAATAATATATGCTAATATGTGGAAATCTAGATCCTGCTGTTACTTTGATCATCTCTTTTCTGCCACTAACTGCCACTGAGGAGTGGAAAAAGAAGGCACATAGCTATAATCTAATTTCAAATAATATTTGTCAAGGAAGACGTTTGGTTGGAAAATGCATGGCTTTTTTTTTTTTAACTCAGATTTTATTTCATAAGTGATGAGTGAGGGCAGAGTGTGGAAAAAAATGAGACTACATGTCTGTCTCATGATAAACAAAAGCCTGAGATGTTACAGTTAGTAAAATCACTTTTTTCATTCAAAGATTTTGGATAAATCATTATTAAGGAAACTAAGGACAACTGTGGTGTGGAATCAGATAGTTTGAACCCCAGTTACTCACAAATGTAAAGTGATATTTTTATCCCTCCTTTTTAAAAATGCTTTTTCAAAATATAAGAAGTTTACATTTTGTCCTACATCACACTGGCTTCTGCTCCCACGGAAAATGTTACATGCTGTATGTCCGTTTTCATTTCATTAAAAGTGAAAGTAAACATGGTATGTATAAGCCAAATAGTAACTAATCCTGACATAATTTCAGTATTAAATGAGGCTTGGAATATGTATTTGAATGGGCATGATGGTTTGGGAAACTCTAATTTAGTGACACCCCATTTATAACAGTGATATGAGGAACAGGGTTACTAGTTATGGTCTGTATTTGCTCTGTCATAGCATGTTCTTACAGCATGTAATTTTATTTGAAGAAATATCCTTTGAGCCATAGTATTTTGGAGACAAGTATTAGGCTACAATATAGACATCATTTAAGTAAAATAATGTAACTTTATAAGATTGGTCTATATCTCTGTCTTTTATCCTCCCCCCTTGCAAAAGTCATTCCTATTCACCTTATTTTAGAAACAAGAGAAAGTATAACTCAGGCTGAAATAAAGCACCAACCTAAAAAGAGATGCCCATTTTCATTTAGTGTTTATCTTTGCCAGAATAAAGAGAAACAAATAATTATTTTGCCTTTAAGGCCTTGATTCTGAATGATAGATTAAGTAGACAGACTGTTGACCACATGCACTTAAGCAGTATTGTTAATTATTTTACCAAGCTTTGGATCAAGGTTTGCTTGAAATAAGCTGTGCTGTGGATAAACCTTTGGATAATAAAGTGAGCTGTATTGCCTTTATTTTTTGCACCAGAACATTACTAGGTGGTATTGATTTTGAAAAATAAAATTTAATTTTCTGAGAACATAAATCAGATTCCGGTATTTTTATCTTCTTCTTCTTTTTTTCCTTTTTTCAGAGAATGGAGTCTCACTTTGTCTCGAACTTCTGGGCTCAAGCTATCCTCCCACCTCTGCCTCCCTAAGTGCTGGGATTATAGGCATGAGCCACTGCACATGACCTTAGGGACTTTAAAATGTTAAATTGATTTTGACCTACCCAGGAGCTAGAGAGTACCAGTGATCACAGAGGGGAGAATAAAGTTGCTGTATAGATTTTCTGTGCTCATTTAGGAAATCTAATCTGGAGTAAAGAGATGGGCAATGGGTCAACTCAGTTTCTTTCTGATGTATATGTCAGAGTTTGATATTGTCAGTCTGTTAACCAAGATTTGTATTGGGATAATTGCTGAAAGAGGCTCTAAGGATATCCCATCACCAGTAATCAGAATTTGTTACAGGTTTCATTCAGGGCAGATGAAAGGGAGCTAATTTGGTAACACAATAACCTAGTACTCAACTAATTCAGGAGCATGGAGAAAAATAGGTTAAGGCTTAAGTCAGATAAATAATATTATAGGTGGACATAGCTGAGTTAGCTCAGGTTTGTATGTTTGTTTTTTCAATGAGGCAGGCTTTTTCTAAGATTAGAATCCACAGTAATGATGAAAGCAGGAAACTTAGGGGCAGGCCATAGGTGTAAGATCAAAGTTGAGCTGCTTCTGTGTCATAGCTGTAAGCACAGGAAGATGCCCATTTTTTTCAAGCACTACTTCTGCATAGCTACTTATCAGCCAGTGTTGTCAATAGACAAGTGGGGGAAGAGGAATACATACAGGCAGTTCCAGCATCAGCCAAAAAAGCCACATAAGTCTTTGAAGCTCACAAATAACACTCATGACACTGAATAGCACATTTTGATGCACTTCGAAACTCTTATCTCTTTAGTTGGTAAGTACATTTGCACACTTAATATGTGCTCAGCAGAAGAGGAGAACAAGGGAAGTCTAATATAGAATCAGGTTTTTTTCTTTACTCCTTGAAGCCATTTAGAGTGGTGTGTGTGTGTGTGTGTGTGTGTGTGTGTGTGTGTGTGTCTATGTGTATTATTTAGCGTACTAATTCTTGGGATTTTTTTTAACATGTTTTACTCTGAAGTGTAACATACAAGAAAGTGACAACATGTGACATGTACAGCTTAAAAGTGGTTGTAAGAATAAATACTCTTTAATAAATGCCACTCATGGTAAAATAAGTAAGTGGAGAAGGAGAAGAATTTGACTAGCATGTTAGAAGTCTTTTGGATCTCTTTCCAGTCACAACCCTCTCTCCAAGCTCGATTCCTATTCCCTGAGTAAGTTCTAATCTTACCTTTTTTTTTTTTTTTCTTGAGACAGAGTATTTCTCTGTTGCCCAAGCTAGAGTGCAGTGGCGTGATCTTGGCTCACTGCAATCTCTGCCTCCTGGGTTCAATCGATTCTCCTGCCTCAGTTTCCTGAGTAGCTGGGATTACAGGCATGTATTACCATGCCTGGCTAATTTTTGTAATTTTAATAGAGACGGGGTTTCGCCGTGCTGGCCAGACTGATCTCAAACTCCTGACCTCAGGTGATCCACCCGCCTCGGCCTCCCAGAGTGCTAGGATTATAGGCATGAGCCACTGTGCCTGGCCTAATCTTACTTTTAAAGTAATCATTTATTGCTTTTCTTTACAGTTTTACCACTTGGATGTGCATCCATATGTACCATATGCAACCATATAGTTTAGTGTTGTGTGTCTGGAAATTTTACAGAATGAGATATTCTTTTGTCTTGTTTCTTTCACTTGTCATCTATGATGTTGAATATAGAGGCAGTCTGTTCATTTTCATTGCTATGTAGTATTCCATTATATAAATGACAACTTATTTATTCTACTGTGTTGGACATCTGCGTTGCTGACAGTTTGCATTACAGATAGTGTTGCTGTGAATATGGTTGTGCTATCTCTTAGTGCACATAGGCTTGCATTTCTGTTGGACATAGTCCTAGTTAGTAAAAATAAATATGACAGAAGTCAATGAAACTGTCTTTTTCTAATGAAAATTTAGGGAGCCAGTAATCTAATGAGGAAAACAACTGTTCTTTTGGTTATTCTACTGGTAGGTGCTGTCTGGATATAAAGATGACCATTGTCATCCAGGTAATTAAAGAGATTATTCAGGATTGTATCTTTGCTTAATATGAATTTCTACGAGTATGTTTAACCAAGAAAATAAAATGCATTTTAGTTTTAAACCATATCTACTATTATTTCTGGAATTCTAAAATTAACAGGATAAAAAGTCGTTAGAGGGCAGGGATTATATCTTTCATTTTTTTAGGGTACTTCACAGTGACCATGGCAATGCTATTAAGATGCTAAGTCCCAACCAAATGTGCATCATCTCCATAAATGTACTTTGGAGTAAAATTATTTGTACGAATGGGTGTAACTTTTCAGATATCCAGACCTTTAAGTTTTCCTTTATCCCAAAAAGGGGGCAAAGATGGATTCGTTTAACTTAAAAATGTTTCTGTTTTGAAAGCCTCTTTCCTGAAAGATAGAAAGTAATAGTTTTGATGAATCTATGTAATATTCTGTTTTCTCCACAATTTTTCTTACAACATTATCCCTCTACACATGTCCTTAGTATAGATGATATTAATGTATTTCTGAAGCCATTAATAATTCTAATTTGGGCCTTTTGTTTGCCATTTGAACCTGGAAGACAAAATAGATAACATACTAAGATACAAATGTATGTTTTCTTTTGGACATGTGCTTCAAAGCATATGTATTTTAAGGGCTTGTCCTGATTTTGCCAGCTAAGGCCAGATCATTATATATTGATTTCAGTATCTTTCTGCTTTTATGAGCTTTGGTTCTAAATCTTCACAGGAAGAATCAAAATAATGTTTGTAATACTATTCTAGCTTAGCTGAAGTCTTGTTCCTGTTTACACTAAATGACATTGGCCCATTGCAGTTAACATTAGTACTTTACAACTCATCCAAGAACTATTTCAAGTGTTGAGGAAAAGGTACTTTAATTGAAAAATTACCTATGCAGGATCAGACTGAGCAAGAAAGCTATTTTTTGTACATTCAGCATATTACACATACCACGATCCATTTTGCTCCTTTGTTATAGCAAATATGTTTGAATTCTTTTTTGCAATGAAAGGATTCTATGGTTTATCTTCCTTGGGGATTGTAACTTTCAAAAGGTGCTCTTAAATATATTACTACCTTATTTAAACTATTCACTTCCCCGATGTGCAGTGCTTTGCACAAAGAATAATTCACTAATGCCCTGAACACACAAAAGGAAAATGCTCTGCTGGGTTTCCCTTTTTATTTTACTTTCCAGTGGTAGGTTTATGACTTGATGCCCAGCTTCTTTATAGATTCACCTCTCACAGGACACAATTCTTTTTAATATGTTTTCCATGCTTATAGAAAGAAACACTGTGTTAGCAAACACCAGAAGAAATTTCATTTTCATCGCATGGCTTTCTCTGGGTATATATAGAGAAAACCCTTAAAGAGTTTCTCCGGGACAACTAAAAGTTATCTTTTTCATTGATCTCGTCTGTGGTTTTAAAACATTTTCTTGGTAACAGATTGTTTTTATTAATCTAGAGCAAGCATTTTATATTCTTTTACACATTTAAAAGATATTAAAACCAAAGAATTGGGAGACTATCTAAGAAAAGTTACTAATTTCCATGGCGGAATACAGAGTTGATGTGTGTAGGAGGTTACACAGGCAGAGGAGCATTGGGAAGAAAATGGTGTTTAAGGAAGATTACTGTAAACTGGCAGCAGGCAAAAGTCCAGGACATTTACCCATTTACCCTTCCACCAAGCTTTCCCAGACTGCTCTAGCCACGCTATTTTTTTTTATAAGCTCCTATACATAATTATATAATATATACGCAAGAATGGATGGATGGGTCAAAATCAAATGCTTCTATTAGTAAGTATAGAATAATTCCCCTGATAAGACACTAATGGTTGAAATTCACATGAAATAAAAATATCTTGGATATGTTTTCTTCCCTGGCCTTAGATTTTTTATATGTTAATGTGCATCTTGAGGTTCCAAAAAGGGTCTCATATTTCAAGGAATGCTACTGATTCAAGCAACAGAGTTTGGGAAACAACGGGTTAAATGATAATCTAATGCATTTAGGTAAGAGGTAAGTGGAAGTTAGAATATATGCTTGAGCAACATGTAACCATAGTGGCTGTGGAGTCCCAGCTTTGAATATCTTGAAGAATAGAATAGACAGTTATCAGTGTTTCTCCTCAAGTGATCCTTCTCAACAGAGGTTGTACTTGATGAGGTAGAACAGAATCTTAGCAGGATTTTGTCAAATGCCTTTTCTTCATCTATTGAGATAATCATGTTTTTCTCTTTTAGTGTGTTAGTGTGATGAATTCCATTGATCCATTTTTTTATTGTTAAACCAATCTTACATTTCTCAGCTGAACCCCACTTGGTTATGATGTACTGTCTTTTTATACCTTTAATATATTGTTGTATTTGATATGCTAAACTTTTGTTTAGAATTTTTACATCTATGTTCATAAGGGATACTGGTTTGTAGTTTCCTTTGCTGTAATATCTGTCCTATTTTTGGTATCATGGTGACATTGGCTTCATTGAATGAGTTGGGAAGTATTTTCTGATCTAATTTTTGGAAATGTTTGAGTAAAATTGTTATTATTTATTCATTAAATGTTTGGGAGAATTTACTCTGAAGCCATCTGTGCTTGGCGTTTTCTTTGTGGGAAGGTTATAAACTGTGATGTCCATTTCTTCAACAGATACACAGTTCATACCAATACCCTCAATTCCAAATGAACACCACAAAGTCGATTCTAGTTTTCATCCTTTCCATATCTGTAACTCCCTACCTGACAATGAGAAACCCCTCTCCCATTATCTTTCATGTACTTCCTTATTTGGTTAATGTCTCTATATGTAATCCATCTTCCTTTGTCACTGCTGCCTCTCCCATGCAAGTGCCCTCTTCACCTCCCTTGGGCTCT